GAGGCGCAGTAAGAGATAAAAAGAGATTCATGAATGGGAGATCATGCGGGTAATGTCACGCCATTACATGGCGCTTTATATCATATCCTACATTATATAACGGCGTCGTTCTTATTATATTGGCTGCCCCGCTTTCTAACACATCGGTAATGGGAGACGGTGCGAACTCTCGTCTCGCTGTGGTAAACCGCAGCTTTTTAAAACAAACGACGGACAAGCAAGGGTTTCAACTGTCGGTAGGTGATAGCCCAACAAGCATCTAAAAATGATGTGCTGTCGAGCTATTGCGGCTTTAGAAATTCTAATTAAAGACAATGCTTATCATCAAATTTGAGGCAGCTAGGGCAGAGTGGCCTAATAACAAAAACATGATTTTCAATAAGGAGCAAAATAAAAATACGCAATTAACTTAGGCTAAAATGAATTGTACTATTATTTGTGTAAAAATTTGTAATTTTTTGGGCATTGGGGAAATTGAAGGTCCGGTAATTGACTGAACACCCGGCCCGCTATAGGTGTCTCCGATAGAAACTAATAATGTTAACAATTTTCGGTCACCGTGCTCTTGTAGATTAACATTTTTCAACTATGAGATGCAGTTAGGCTACTCTACCTATAGCGACCCCATGTTTTAGGTCTACTTTGTATACGTACTAAATATATCATATTGATTACATTATGATTATTTTCTATTGGGTCTCCGAGGAGCCTTGGAGGTCATCAGTCCACATCCACTAACCTCTTCACCAATTTTGCCCTATACGGAAGAAATCATATTAGTTTTATGTTCATTTATTGTTGATAATACATATGCCTAATTCGGCAAGATCACTACTATCATTACTTTTAATAGATATAACAAATGACTATCTTTATTACTTCACTTCCTTTATCGGAATAAATTGGAAATTATTTTTATATAGCACACTTAAGCAATAAAATCTTCCGGCTCTTGTATTGCGCTACCGATATCTAGTAAATATCGATGTATTATAATTACCAAGACTTCTATGTGAACCATCCCCCATTATAGGCTTCAGAGTTGAGTTTGCGATACAGATATTTAGAACTGGTTATTTTTCATACGTACAATCTTGATAGTTTATATAAATTGTCATTCCATTTAATTTTGAAAAGTAGATAGCATTGCGGGGGGGGGGGGGGGGAGGGTCCCGCCCATGGCCAAAACAATTTTGCACACCGTATCGAAACTACGCAATACATTTGATATAAAAAATTCGAAAAGCTCTCAAATCAGAATACCTATGAACAATGAATTTTACTAACTCTAAATCGTTTCGGAGTGAACGTAAGTGCAGTAAGTGCACACGCCATTCAGTTTGTGGAAAACAATGTATCTCCGAAGAGCGGCGTCCGTAGATCGATTTCCTCTTTCTCCGTGGCTCGCAAGGTGGAAATTGCTGTTTTCGGACCATTGCCGCCGCATTCACTGCACACGAGCTGGTTCACGTTGAATAATCGAGTGCTCTTAAATAAGACGCCGTCGGAATGGAAACATTTTATTGGCCCTCTTTGTGGTAGAACTGATTTTATCTCTCGCGCTCCGCTATTCTCACGATGTGTGAACTTTCAGCGTCCTACTCTTGAAATCGTCTATAACACAAATTGATGCCTTTTGTTGTGAATTGATTTCGGGTTCAATTCCGACCAAATGCGACATCCTTCAAAGTAGTTTGTAATTTTTCTGAATGACGGTAGCAATTTTAGAATTTATCCTGGTCAGCAGCTACCGTCTACAGATGAAACCGTAAATGGTTTCTTTTTGCGTAAACTTTTGCGCTTAAGTTTCAAATAGATCGATGACGCAGCTTTTTAAGAAATTAAATGCCTGGAGTGTTTCACATTTCATTCAATCCCCTCAGTCATAAAAAAAAACTTAGAACAAAGGCACTTAATTAAATCTTTCGGTGCTTAAAATTATCTAAGTGGAATTTTGAAATCGTGGACGCTCGAAACGTTAAATTATTATCATAATTAACAAGGACAGCTTTCAAAGGATTAAAAGGGGAACCCCCGAGTTATGCAATTGAATTTTCTAAATTCATTTTCCGAACCGAGCACTTTATTACGCGAGTGATTTTTTTAATCTTCCCACTTAAAATATTCGCTCAAAAGATCCTGCACTTTTGCCATGGTGGTGTACAAGCAAATAATTTACGAAAGAAATGCTGAACGTGTTTAGAAAGCCAACCTTAATAATTTAACACGATTACCAAACGTGAATTTGCTGTAAATATATTTACTATATTGAATGGTGTTGAACAGTTTTTTTTTAAATCCTATATGGGCACAATCTAGAATGTTATATAATGCTCGCTTGTCGTATAATTTTTGTTTGTTGTAACATAAATTCGTCTTATTTTCGCAAGCACGGCATGACCTCTAATAGTCCCAAGCATGAGCCAGACATGTGTATGTCTGTGTAAAATTAATTTACAACCAATTGATTCGCCTGATCGACACTTATGTTTTGCCATTATTCGAAGCCAGGATCTCTGTCGATTGAGCCACTAAAGCGACTAAATAAAAGCAATAATGGTGTGTTAATACCATCGATATACGGCAATAGCACAGAATACTGCCGGTCGGATATTGCGCGTACACAACGTCGTGTTCGTTGGCTTAATGCGTTTCCGATGTGACGTAAATGGGAGGTTTGGCGTTGCGTTGCTGCTCGGCGTCAGGTGCAGCAATATGCGTTCATCGATATTTCTGATTTTGTTCCAAAAATGTATAGTAAGTTTATGTTTATAATCAGGAATTTGTTATCTGCGCATACTGTATAAACTTTTGTGTTCTAGTATAAATGACGTATAGGCAAGATACGTGAAATTTTAACTTATTTTCAGATATAATTCTTAGGTTTTGGTCGTCCTTTGTAACTATATTATTAATCTAAGAAGCCTTGAATTCACGTGAACACAAGGCGTCTCACAGCTTTACTGTCATACAGATTACGAGAACATACATTTTATAAATAATCCGTCTTGATTAAAAGTCTTATTTTAATTTCATAACTGCATTCATACATTTTCTGATATCGGTCTCTTGGAGGTTTTCCTTAAAACGTCCAACAAAGAGGTTACTCAAATCCTGTCGTCAATGCTTTTTGTGCGATCACGAATTTGTAATCCAATTTCCATAACAATGTTGTGCTAGGAAGCTCTGAGTGAACGGAGCAATGCGGTCGGGCATTTCAATACTAACCAGCTCTGTTAATCGAACTCAATTCTCGAGCGATCAAAGGCACGTACGCGGTGAATCGGAACTGCTCCAATGTATTTTCTATTGCAGTTTATTCCCGTCCAATAACAATGCTATTTAATAGGTGGGTCTTCACTGAGGGAACTCGCGAGGACAACTCTCGATTTATCAGGACAGTGTCTCGCAGACGACAACACATCGTTGCATTGGCGTTATCAAAGCAATCACAAATCGATAACGAAGCTTTTTTCTCGTTGACACGTATAAGGACCAATTACCTACTAAATTAGTAATCGGCCTTCGAAGGTAGCCTAGCGCTTAGTGGAGACCCACCCATTGGGAGATGGAACTCCTGAGCTATTCCCTCGTACATACAGTGGATAGTTTTGGTGCGGCTATAAATTTTGAACCTAGAGTGTTTAGACAATTTATTGCTTGAAACACCGGTAGCAGATCCTACCTAACACTGTAACACGCGCCCGTTTGAAATTTACCACTTTATTCTAGTGCAGCGTATTATTAGTCAATATTTTAGTCTAAATACTATCTATAGTTTACGCGAGTACACATTTAAATAAAACACTTTAACGCTTTAAAACGCGTTATAACTTTTATATTTTATACTAACTAATATATCGCGTTTTAAACCGTTAAAGTGTTTTATTTTATATATTTTAGTCTGCTACAATATAGGGTACAGAATGCAATCGTTAGGAAATATGTTTTTTTGATCCGTTTATGTTTCGTATAAATTAATCAGTTATTTCTGAATATATAGTAAGTAGTAATAGAAGTAGGCAATAAGATTTTTTTTTGTAATACTTAACTAGGTTAGATTTTCACCTTGTGTTTTTTATATAAGTTCGTAATAATAAATATATGTACTGATATTTTGCCTTGATAACTATAAAATTTATTTGAATATGCAATAATACGTATGCGAAACAGTTTCTTATCAGTACCGTATTACACTAATAGCGTACCTAATAAATAATGCAATATTGTTTGGTGTATACTTTTTATTTACAAAACTATACTTTATGGGTGCTGTCAGTATTATCCACCTAAATAAGAGAAAAATATTTCTCTATCAGATTTCAGCGTCGCCTTCGCCTATTTGTGATTTTCTAGATTTCAAACGATAATCTTGAAATCTGTATGATAAGTTAATTTTTTTTCAAATCGTACTTTTTGCACAATACTGTGTACATACACTTATCGCTTATCGTGCTATAGATAGAACATGGAATGTCATGAATCAAGATACGCTATCTTGTTTTGAAGTAAAGATCAATGCATGGTTGTTGAGAAATCATTAAACTTTTCGTAACAATTGCGATAGAAAATTTTCAATCTACCACTATTAGAATTGATTTTTGTTTACAAAATACAAGTGTTAAGTCGTACGTGCTTGTAACGTCCATTCAATTCATCGTTGCGATCGACCAGTGGTCACTTATTCGCTGATCGTTGCTATATTTAGTCACGCGTTACCATCGCTTGGTATTAGTTGGTAGCTTTCTTTGTGTCTTCCTATATCGATCAGGCGTGTTTACTTATTCAAAACGATTAGCTTTTCAAGGCGACAGATCAGAATGCCGAATGCATCTGCTCTGAATTCCCTAACGTATTCGCACACCTGTTGCGCTTCTTGCCTCCAGGCCTAATTGATGTCTGTTTTTACACTATCGGCGTCGAGGTCGATTCCAAGTTAGTTAATAACGGTTCAGAGACCAAAAAATGCATGTGTGTCACAGGCGTACGCTCACGGAATGTCAGCGAACTGGCGTTGCGTATTCAAAGCACGACTGAGGCCGGTGACTCCTCGAGCCCTCAGCGCAGGCCGAGCCAGTTGCCACTGCCACGGCCGCGTCGCGCCGCAAACAGAATACTAATCCTCCGTAAACACTTCGAGCCCAACATTTGCTCGAGCGGGTCAACGAAAGTTTCGTAATGCCTTTGTCTTGCCGACTTTCGCGCTCGTTAACGGGAACGCCTAATACCAATCCGTCATTGTTCTCCCATTTCGTTCTTTGTTCAGAGCGGCTCATCCCAAATACGCGTTTCGTGTACCATTATTTTGACATGAGGCCGGCCATTGTTTCACGTTTTATCTGCAGACAGCTCCGATTGTATTGCAAATGGGACTATTAACTTTCCCTTTCGACAACGCACATTTTGTTCATTCATATCTACCTAATGATAGGTGTGCTGGCTGCGGGCTCCACATTCTTATCTAATCGTTCGCGGTTCCACTCGCCCACGATCAGACGATGGCGTGGGGAACGACCGTGCCTTACCTACGTGGTTACATTGAACTGTCGATCTTTAGTTGCGCTGCCGTCGCAAGCAGCTGGTGCTGCACGGTCTGTTGGCGCCGCTCTCCGCCCGCCGCCCGCGCGGCCGTTGCGCCCCCGCGCTCCCTTGCGAAAAATTATAATGCAATTGCCAGGACGGCCGATGTGGAACGTTTTACGACCACGGCCAGCACGCAACCAGTCTGTGCTGAAATGCGTCGTAACTCACACGCCATCCATCACTATGGATTACTCGTGTCGGGACTGATTTCTCCTCTGCCGTTCGCTGGAGTGTGAACGGATCGGCTGTCGATCAAGTTACCATTGGATTACAGAATTCAGTGAGATAACTGTCGGAAGCCCACGCTGCGGCCGCGTATCGAGTGATACGTACTGCTTATTCTCCTCATCCTTAACCTTTCGCGGAAATCTGAATAGAGCGTCCGCGACGTCGCCATTAACGTTCTTGGTCTTAAACATTATTGTTCTAATGGTTTCGGTGACCGCGTTTCTTGTGACTCTTGAAATGACTTGAGCGTTACTGATGCCCTTTTTTGTTGAAACAATCGTTCATCAAACGCGAATTAATTCCGACCGCGTCCGCGACGTCCGGTGGTGCCTCGCTTTCGAGCCGTCCTCTATTCAACGTGGTCTTTGCGTTTCGAGCCGTGATATGGTTCACTCGTTTCTGGTGGTTGCGCGATTTATCATCCGATCGAATAATAAAATGGCTCTCTAATCTGCTAATTATTAAATTATCGCTTTAAGGTCGATAAGGGGCTCCGCGCTCGAGCAGTGCAAGTGGTTTAGTTGGCAATCACTGTCGATATGATGAGGTGATTTTGTGGCTTTCCATTGTGTGTGAGTGATAAGTGCTTTACAATGTGGGGTGCAGCCGTTTCGACTCCTCCGCATTACCATTACGTTCAAGGCCCCGCGGGGCCCGTGCCGCACCGCGGCCCGGCCGGTCCCATACTGGCCGGACCGAACGTGAGGCACTTGAGGCCCCAGTCGTCTTACTCTTTGCCGCACGGAAGCAACGGCCCCGGTCGTTGGAGCTGGTCTGGTAGCAACTCGTCGTCGTTCGATCGGAGACAGACGAAAGTGCCGCCGCAGCCTGCCAGGCCAGCCCCTAATCGACCTTCGCATAATCGGCACGCCGCTAATGTAAGTTTATGGAATGAGAGACGACTGTAATGTTCACAATCAAGTGCTTTATATGCATATAATATAGTATGAAGCAACGTTTTCTGAAGGTAATTAACACAGCAATCTTATATAAGTCGCTTATCGGAAGGTAAATATTTCCCAGGCATAAATTATTTATCGTGTAATATTACGATTTCCAAGTCGATTTCCTCGTCTATCGCAATGCGTGTCGGATGTCGAATGCGCACGCGTCACCCGACACGAATGCGTTTCTAATATTCATCCTAGGTATGTCGCTTTGATGACACTCGGTTCATGTAATGTACTGTTAGGCTGGCGATTCACTGATCTCATCATTGATTATCCGAATATAAGACGAATTATTGAAAAATATTTTTTATGATTTGACAAATTACAAGGTTGTTTAGTTTCTTCTTAATTTCACAAAATCGTAAAAACAATAGACCTAAGTAAATTTAGACTACCCTTGATATAAGTAGTGTATTTTTTTTGTCACGATTATAATCAGCCACAGTAAATGCCTTTTGTATTGTCACTAATAAATCACCTAATCGCATGACCACAATGAAACTAGGAACTGCTTCACTTTCATTGAAAACTGGTTTAAAAACGACGTTTTATAGTTGTCGACAAGCGCTGCGTGCGGATAGCGTCAATTAAGCATTTGATCGCTAACACCCTTTCATTACATGTAATTTATTAAATCCTGTGTATCTGGTTTAAGTGGAGTTAGCATTATTAATATATAAATTTGCAAAAGCTGAAAATTGTAAAACTTTACGAGGTTTTACTTATTAATGTAAACTTTCTTAATTAAAGCAGGCAAAGGGTTATATGAAAGGTGAAATACCTACCTCAGTGATATTGCATTTGCATTTTAGATATTCGGAAATCTATAGACTGAAATCGTAACGCGATTAAAGTTCACGGCTTGTTCATAGACGTTGGTTGGTAACCCGGACGGAATTTCGATATTCCTAACTTTAACATCCATACGAAGTCGAACACGTTTTATTAAAACAATCAGTTTATTAAAAACATGTTGGGACCCGGTGCAGATCGAATCCATTACAACAACGACTAACGAACAACAAACCGTAATACATTAAATATGGTATTTAATATTAAAGTGGAATCCCGCTTAACCTCGTGGGGCATGGGGGGAAAAAATGATCACTTTTATTTATGTACAATCATACGCGTGTATGAACCTGGACAAAATAATTTACTCGTTCCCTGTTTCTAATGTAGGGCCTCTAGCTTTTAACGACGCTAAGCAACACGTTTAATACAATGTTATCCAAATTATTTGCTTGCGTGGCAATTTGTCCCTTTAACCTAGAAAGCTTAGTAAAATTACTCTCTGTGATTGTCCCCAAAGACAAGTTAAATTATGTTCACGCTAATAATATTCCAATGGATTATAATGTCTGTCTCTGTATGTTATAATTTGTATTACTCATCGCGGATTGCTTCAGGGTTTCAACATCGCTTTAATGACTGTTCATTGAGGTCGATGCAAATAAATGTAGGCGTAGTTATTAAAATTTATAATATTTATAACCCACGCTGTTCTACCATCACTTGATTTTCACTTAACGGTTTAAAACCGCGAAATGTATTAGTGTCGGATACTTTTGTTTGCAGTGGTCACGGGGGACTGAAATCGTCTCTAATGTTAAACTGCTACGCTAGCGCCATCTGTTCCGTCGTAGTTAGTATTTGGCGTCACTGGCTGAGTCCTTGCAGAACTGACTAACGGTAGATAACGATTATGATAGCATCCTTATTGATTGCGTCTCCAGACCAACCACAGAAAACATCCTTAGAATTGCACAATTTATTTCCTTTGCATACTAAACAATCAGAGAAAAGTCTTCATTATATTTCTTTCAAAATTATTTTCGAGACTTAGGTGGACGTTATAATTAATCTTAGCAATAAAATAAACCTAAGAAACACAAGTAAGACCTTTGCCTTAGCGAAGAAAATAAAACTGCTTCTGATGTATTACTATCGTGCTATAAAAACCTTAACTTGTTTCTACGCCTTTTGCGGAGTATTTTACTTAATAGGTAGGTACTAGTACTATTGAATGACAATGTTGTAATCGAGTAACGATTCGATACATTTTTAGGATACCTACCATATTAATTTAGGTTTCAAAAAGTTTTCGTAGAAATTTGAGCAGGGTGAGAAAAAGGCTTGAGAATTGTTATGGGATAAAGTATTGTCTTGTCTGTATTTAAGTTAAACACTTTCAACGGTTTAAAACTGGAAATATTTGTGAGTTGTGGCCCCGATTTGTAGCCGCATTCAAACAGCCTTATATATAATACTTCATTAAACAATATTACTTAAATAAACGAAGTTGGGTTTTTGGGGGGGGACTATCATATTTTTGAACCGTCAAAGGTGTTTTATTTTTTGTATTTCCAGTTTTGAGCACGAACATTTGTCAATTGTAAAATCACTATACTGATTCGGCTCTAAATCTATAACATGAGGCCATTACCGATATTTTTCGAACGTCGTCACGTCAAGTGTCTATCAAACAATTGATCAATACGTAGGTATGAAATAATTTATTCAGTATTTAGCCGATAATATTAACAATATTTTTTAATAAAAGCATTATTTTTTAATACTACCATTGAATCATTAATACTTAGTAGCCATTAATTAATTTGATAAACTAGACATAATGATAAAAAATTCCTTATAGGAAAAAATAAGGTATACCTAAGTATTCTGCAATTGACAACCATATAATCTAATGTGTTTCGTGGTAAACAAAAGCTCAGGAAATTTTAACTTTCAAATTATTGCAAATACCAACAGTTGAAGTATTGATACTTATTAAAATAAAACACTTTTAACGGTTAAAAACGCGAAATATATTACTTACCGTAATTTTAATTAAATTCAACTACGGCCTGATCAAATGCTTTACAGCCGCCGTAGTCATCCAAAACGTTTAACCGTAAATTTAACTAATACATTTTGCTTTTTAAGCATTAAAGGGTTTTATTTTAATGTTTACCAATGGCGTAAAGTGTCGTCAAAATTTGGCACTTATTTCTTAAATAATGACATTTAATAATTGTGGTAAGTAATAAAGAAACTCCGTTAAACTTAACATCAGGTTTAAATCTAAAATTCGCACATTTTTTAAATTTAAAAATAAAAGAGTTACTGTATTTTTTCTTTAACGATCTGTACAGTGTGTAGTGTTGTAGCGACGCCACATCACCGGCCCTAACAGCATTTGAAAGAAGCCGCCAGCCGCCGTTTTTAACCTTTGTAACGACCCGACAAAACTCAATAAACGTTTTCATTCTGTATTTACGTCGAGTCTTTTAGCACCCCTTTTAGGATCCTTCACGTGTAGAATTTTAACAAGGCCAAATGTCGTTATTGTCTCCCCTTTGTCACGACGTCTTGAAAGTGACCGGGTATTGTCCTTTGAGGAATTATTCATTGTGATGAGTACTTGGGTTACAGGTGTATACAACACTGTGTATGCCATTAACAAAACTGTGAGCCGACTTCGTTTCTATGACTACCTACTTCTTTGGTATCGATAATGTTCACATGGAAGTTACATAAAACACACGGTAACACGCTTTGTTGGTTGGTAGGTTCGACTTTCGTTAATAATCTTATAATTGCTGCTTCTTATTCATTATTTTTGTTAAGGCATATGGAATGTAGGTTGAAATAATAGTTTTTGTTTTACACTTATATTGTTGGGTATAAACGTATTTTGTGTCTAAACGTGCCGAAATAAAAAAACATCACCTTCTTTATGAATGTTTTAATTTATATCTATTCTAATCACCCAAGTGGCTTAACGTACTATCGCAGGTTGATTAAAATGTTAATGTCTACGAGTAGAAGTTCGCCTTATCACGTTTTATAATCTCGTTTGCCTATATAGCCCTGCGACACACACGCGGAATTTGAATGACGTGAGCCAACACAGTTTAGCATGCTGTCATAAAAATAACAAAGATTTTCCAGCGGACATTTTGCGGATTTGCATAGTATAGCGAGGCTGTTTGATAAAAGTGTCACGTAGTGAAATGCTAGCTTCATTTTTGTGTGGAACCTTGACTCCGCGGTAAAGTCAGCTGAATGCCAAAAGGCCTTTAGCTCTTTCAGATTAATAATCTTTGGCTCGTAAACGTTTCTTTTGACTTGGCTTTGCTATTTCATAATGTAGGTGCAGTTTTGTTACTGATGGTAGATGATAATATCAGTATGTATCGGGATTTAAGGCTTTGAAAAACGACTTTTGTAATATTTTTTTATGAAATATCCATTCCATCGGTCAACCATAATATGTGTTATTAAATATGTTCCTGAGTGCGACAATTCTAGGCTATAATGCCACTGAATTTTATTTTTAGTCGTTTAGAATTACAAATCGTTTAGTTTTAGTAGCTTCTAAAATTTAGATTTAAACACTTGCAAAATTCTTAGCGAACTGAGAATATTTTCCCATGCGATAAAATTAAAGGATAACTTTCAAAGTGCTTCTTCTGCTACGCATTTTTTATTTATTGACATGTCCACCAATTTATAATTGCATCCAATTTGAAATTTTTATTACATAATACTGCTTCAAGTTCTTTTCGTTCAATCATAAAGTACTTAACTCAAAACACGTAAACTTAAATGTTACAAAGTAGAGATGCGCCGAGTAACACTTTTGCCGAGTAACGAGCACTGAGTTTAACCGGCTCATTTTTTTTCAAGCGAGTACTCGGTAGAGTAACTCGGTTAAATCGAATCACATTTTGCGCGCTTTAACAAGTACAAACTGGTTCGCCCTGGTCAAGACTTCAGCTCGCTCTCATCTTCTCGTTACTACTCAATCGTTAGCATAATTTTGTTTTTATAAATTGAGAATTTCCAACATTTCCTAAATTACTAATAAATATTTTTGAATGATAACGTTTAAATGTCTTATTCTTTCTATCTATTCTAATATATAAATATCTACCTTAATATATTGCTTTTCTTAAACAAAGTATACTCGTAATCAAATAACAAAGTATAACCGGATTATTCGACCGAGTACGAGTATCGAAAATCCGCCGAGTGCAGAGTACCGAGTATCGACCGAGTACTCGGCACATCTCTACCTAAAATACATTTAGAAACTACGTATTAATCATACGTATTTCGTGTTATCGTCTTTAATATCAACATTCCGATGTCATCTTTACCTGTTATTTATGGAAATCTTCCGAATCTTAAGGTTTTATCGCTTATTTATGCAGTGTTTTTGTCATATTAAAACGAAGTTCACATGTGTGGTGGAACACCTAATGCAAGTTAAATTGCGTTCAAATACAGATCTTGTGAAGTGATAAGCGTAATCGGTTTTATGAAGAAAAACGTAATCTTGTGCCTTTATAAAACATTAGAATGAAATTGAATTTTCTAATAACAGATAATACGTATCGTATTATACTTTTATGTCGGCAATATACACACTTGTATTGAGGATAACACATTATAATTATATTTATCGTCGAACTTATCAATTCGAACTATTTTTATGTTTTTCTGTGGTTTATATTAAATTGAGGAAAGTCGGTTTTTTTTTATAAGAACTCTATTTATTTAAATAAAATACTTTAACGTTAAAACGCGATATATTTTTATTAAGATTGTTTGAAAATTATTTTAACTACGGCCCGAAGTTTCGGATGCTTTGCAGCAGCCGTGGTCACAGAGAGACTAAAGATGGAGGATGTCTCTGAAGTTAAGGGAAAAAACTACTACGCTAGCGTCATCTGTTCGGTCGAAGTTGGTATTTGGCGAAACTGGCCGGGTCCTTGCAGAATTGACTCACTGTTGTCTTCGCTTTTGCCATCGCGTTTTAAACCGTTAAAGTATTTTAAGTATTTTATTTAAATATGTACTACTCGCGTAAAGTACGGACAGTATGTAACTCTATTAATGTTTAAAATTCTCGTTATATAATTTGCTTTGGCATAAAAAACCCCCCGCCCCCCCCCGTCCCGTTAAAAATCTTCAAATAAGTTTAACTAATAATCGCGTTAAACTTAAGTGCTTTATTATCCTATTATAAGTAAAATATTCTATCTCTTATACTTGACCATTTTTATTAATTACTTCGGATCATTCAAAAACCCTCCATTGTTCCAGAAGGTCGACCCGGAGCTGATCTTCACAAAACAAGAGAAGATCGGCAAGGGTTCCTTCGGCGAGGTCTTCAAAGGGGTCGACAACAGGACCCAACAGGTGGTCGCTATCAAAATAATCGACCTAGAGGAGGCCGAAGATGAAATCGAGGATATCCAGCAGGAGATTATGGTGCTGTCGCAGTGTGACAGCCCATACGTCACCAAGTATTATGGATCATACTTGAAGGTATGTCTTGTTTACTTTTATCATTTTTTATCTATATTTATAAGGTCCTATTTTGATAACTGAAATAACAAAATGGATCTTTTAAAAAAATGTACTGATCAATAATATAAAACTGGATATTGTTTTACGGCGAAGTTGATGATGACGTCAATAAGATAGTGAAATTTCAACGGGAAAATAGGTGAATCCTGACTGCTAAAAAGCGTTGTCACGTACTGTTGCAATTTAATGTCTACTTCTCAAATACCATAAACTCAATTCAAATTTTATATATAAAAAAACGGTGGTGTTTCTGCTACTAAAATACATAATAGTTTGGAACATACAAACATTTAAGTCTAGATTTTGTTTCAAATATTCGTAGTACTAGCCCTAAATGTTATATTTTCGCTTCGAATGTAATTTGGATATATTCCCGTGTGGTTGGAAAAAGATATAGTCATACACGAAGTAGCTCTATTTATCAGTTCACCTCGAAGCTGAGATCAATCATTGTCTTGGGGTCTGTTTATCTTCTCAGTTTTTCGGCGAGATCACACGTAATGGACCCCATTATGTTGAGTGATTGACATATTTTGGGGGATTCTTTGTCTCTCTTGAAAGGCTTAAAGTTACAATACCTCAACGAAATTGCAAAAGGATGCGGTGTTTGGTAACATAAAACCAGTTAAAGCAGTTGTTGAGTTAAGTAGTTCAGTATGCAATTTCGTTGATTAGTTCCTCAGAAACTCAATGTTCGATTTCCTGGGTTACAGTATTGGTAGGATGTTGACTGTTGCGTCAGTCGTGACTTTCAATAACACGCCAGGCGGGAGGTCTTTTTGAAACTCTGCCTCGAAGTCCGCAATCTCGATGACGTAATAACCTTATTCGTTCTGATTGGCATTTAGCAGATATAGCACAGTGTGCTCGTGAATAATTTTCTCGTGATCTATTGTGCAGTAACAGCCGAGACCGTCACGACGCCGCAGAGGTTAGGACACGACGTCAACAATAAACCGGTCGCTTGTATCAACGTTACTCAATGCATTCACTAAAAGCGTATGTTTTGAACGTTTATCGTCCCGTCTTAATGGACTGTGTGTTTGGGCGTGGGATTAGTCATGATTGGGGCTCAAGCCGAGTAAATTCGTGCGGTAAGTAGATTGACGCGACGCGAAGCCATAAATCTTCCGCTCATTGCCAATTTTACCTGACGATAAGAGCTCGTACTCCATGCGGGTGTCGCCATGAATGACGTTAAACAATAGACCGCCGATCGTTTTGTAACATCCACGTTCGTTTGGCGTAGTCCCGTTATATTTCTATACCGCTTTGTTGGGTTTATTGATTGTAGTGGCTTGCGGTCGGCGTTTTATGTTATTGCGGGATAGTGGTCTCAATGGCCCGATAGGATTTCATATGATAATCCACTGAGCACAGAATATATGGCACTTAGCCAGTACGGAGTGGTCTGCTACAAATAACGAAATCGGCTCATGAACTTAATTATGTTCTTAGTATCTGTACTGTCAGGTAGGTTCGTCTAGGGTCACATTGTTTAATGAAGACCTACTCAGAGGGTTTTGATGCGTTGCATTTCTCGCTTTGTTGATCGAGTCGGCTCCGCTGCTATAGCAATCTTGACACACTTTCGAAAGCTGTTGTTATGCGTGCCTTGCAAAATACGATGCAATGTAAAGCCGGCCATCGAATTTGCAATACGTCATTTTATACCAATCCGGATCGCTGTTGCGACTTGTGTACGTTCCAAAACTTCCTGCTACGAAGGCCTAATCTAAATTACATGTAAATCTTTAGAAACATCTTTCATCTTCAATGATTTCTTAAGCTGCAAAGCATAAGACATTGAACCTTAATTCGCAAGTGTTAAGGTTGAAATTACATTGCGCGAGTGACGAAAGTTGAAAGTGAGGTTGCGAAAAATTCGACGATGAGGTGTAGAACTCGGTAGCTCAATTGGTAGAGCAACAGCGCGGAACGCTGACGATGCCGGTTCAAGTCCTGCCCGAGTCGAATTTTTTTTTCAATTTATTTTTAAATTATACCTACATGTAAATCGTTAATTTTATTACAAGTGCGGTGTAATTTTCCCACTTGTATACCCTCGGTGATATTAATATGCGAATAGTATTACGATATTCAGGCGAACACTCGCTCCGTTCGGCGCTCATGAAATTGCAAAACTCGTCACTGTTAATTTATGTAAACATGGATAAAATGTGGCGTTGTGTTTATATTTGACATTCAAAAAACTATGAAGATTATTTAATTTCGACATTTAGTTGGGGCCTTAGTTGACGTCCTGTTTGGAAGTTCATTAGGTTAAATCACGAATGTAAACTTTTCGATGTTTTTTCTGTATTGTAGGTTAATTAAACTGCTTCCGCATACTAGCATATGTGGTTTACCTCCACTATAGACATGGTGAAGTACTTAATTCTAGACATTTTTTTTATGATAGATGAGAACAGACAAGAATGGGGTCACTTGATGTTAGGTAGAATACCACAGCGATATATCTATCATCTATTAGAATCGAGATTAATCTTTACGACTTTTTTAATTTTCGACCGCGGTAGAGGACGAACTTTCGATATTCCTACCACCCATATAATATCCAGACTTCCAGACGAAGTTTATACATTATATATTTTATATAATGCCTTCTTTAGGTCGACGATACCGTCATCCTCTGTTTATTTATATTTCTCATTCTCATTAGATATATTGATGTCGATACGATAAGTCGACATGTCTAATGACCCATTCAGGGAAAGATTGACAACGTAACGCATTAGTTATGTGTAGTTTTCCTCCTTTGACGTGACGGGGCAAAGGGGGGGCAGGTTCAATTAGTGAAATGAACTTGAGACTCGTGACAAACATGTTTATGGCTCTCGTTACGCTCTGATCCTTTTAGTATCGAGTGCTCTGTAACATTACAGAGATGTTGGGTTGGAGGCTAAACATAACCTTGTCGTTGGAAAGACAAGAGGTTTCATTGGTATAATCATTAATCTCAAGGTATTTATTTATATAATGAATGGCTCAAGTATCTTTAGGATGATAAATACATAATTGATTTAAAATTTGATACCGACTAATGTCTTCAGTTATACATACCTGTATGTTTTTATTCTAACACTTTAAACCAGCTTATTTAGTATTTCAAATATATGTTACATGTTAATGTGTACTACTCGCGTAAACTACAGACAGTATTTACGGTTTTCATTTCTTTTCAACACTATTCTATCTTCTGTAGCGCGTACTCAAAAAGTCAAGTTCAGTATTCAAAAGTTTGCAAAGTCAATTTAGAAGTTCTTCGCGCTAACAGAAGATAAGGAGCTCGTTCAGAGCTGACGAAACTTGTGCACGTCAGCACAGAACTGCTGATCTATAAGCTTTTATGTGACGTAAACTCGACATTGGGTAATGTTAATAGACATTTATTTGTGGCTTAATTTAATAATGGACTTTAAATTAATGTTGGAATTACAAAGATCGACTAGGAAGAATAGTAGTTAGGTAAAAAATATTCAATTCACTATTATTAGGTAAGTTTGGTATCTCATTCTTTTGGTGGAGAACTCTTGACTTTGATGACTCAAAAATAAGCCCTAATTGGTTTTTCTTTATATAGTGATTTAGAGATATGTACGGTGAAAATAAAAAAAAAAAAAAAAAAAAAAAAAAAAAAAAAAGGGGGGGGGGGGGGGGCAGGATAACAAAATAAGATTCAGTTTAAGATATCCGTTCAAATGAAAGAATATTTCAAAGCGGATGTAAAATAAGCGAGGTGAAGGCCGCTGACTCACCGGGCAAGTCGACCTTAAGGTGAAAAAATGTGGACGATCTGCGCCGCTGGACATCAAACGCGACGCTTATTACAACTGGTTCTGGATGCATCATGACAAACGTGAGACGCTCGTAGTAATTGATATACATATTTCATCATTTTATACCGCAATATGCTCGTGTTCTGATTTTATTCAACATCTTCATTAGCAACTAGGTTAAGTAAAATACAGTAGCTTAATACTTTCGTACATAACATGAATACGTAATTGAATGAAATAAAGTCTAGGAATGAAAAATAATTACTATATTTGTATTTTATTGTTTTCCTAAAAGTATTCAAAGCATTCTTAGTCTCTAAAGTAAGGTGAAGTAAAGTAAGTGAACATGAGAAATATTTTAAATAAAATAAAATGTGTTCTCATGCCAGCGGTGTAACAGGGAAAACCAGAAGGGAACAACTTCAAAACCCGCGGGATTCCCAGTATCGTGAATTGTGATTCAACATTATTTTTTTACATTCGAGAAATTCCGACACAAAGCAGCGGGCGGTGTTAATTACACAAACGGCCCGTCGTTTCTTTCCTTGATTTTTCAACAAATGAGTTTTGCTCGAAAGTTGCGGAACAACAATCGAACAACAGTTAAACTCTCGGGACGTACTGACCAAATTTCGCTGTACAAAACGTTACACCTTTAGCCGTCAATACACCCTAAAATACGTGGTGAATGTGCAAACGTATGACGTGTTACATGTTACATTACACCGCGAGCATTTGGTCTGTACCCAGCATTAGACGTTCAGATGTGAACGATCTTCGGTTATGCGATGAAGAAATGCGCATTGTTTTAGCAGAGGTTGATAACTTTTTGTACGATGTTTGTGCGTTTGTACTACCATTGTTTGTGTTTTGATTAGGATCGTGACAGCATGATGATTACGTATTGTTTATTTGTTTTTTATAGAAATAAAAAACAAACGTTACGCGTGTTGTTAAGTAAATATTGAATAAACTGTTAAGTCCAAATTTAATCGACCTCAAAACGGTTGACATTCGTATAAATTTGAAATTTCTTTTAAAATTGCATTAACCCAAAAAGTACACTTTCAATGAGATTTAAAGAACCTTAGCGGATTATTTGTGTACCTTAATTATCGTATTGTTTTTATACCGCCATTTTTGTTAAGCTTTTTCTTT